AGTTCAGGAAGGGCCTTTAGGATTTAACTTATGATTCTGGGTTTAGGGTTTAGGGTTTAGGGTTTAGGGTTTAGGGTTTAGGGCTTAGGGTTTAGGGTTTAGGGTTTAGGGTTTAGGGTTTAGGGGTTTTTAATGAAGGGTTCCAGGCCTTAAGGTTGCGGGATCAGGGTTAGCAGTTCAGAGTTCATGTTCTGCTTCTGGGGAGTTCGGGGCTGTTCGCCTCTCCAATCTATCAAAGCCGCTGGTTGAGGTCGTATCATGTCATAGCAGGTCATGTCATGTCATGCATATCATACCATGTATGTGTGCACACATGTGCACGCATATCTGTTTGGTCCGTCTGTCTGGTCTGTCTGTCTGTCTTGTCTGTCTGGTCTGTCTGTCTGTCTGTCTGTCTGTCTGTCTGTCTGTCTGTCTGTCTGTCTGTCTGTCTGCCTGTACGAACGTACGAACGTACGCATTCATGCAGGGATGTATGTATGTGCATAAAGCATATGTGTGTATCGCGTCGGCAGGTTGTGGAGGAGAGTTCAACATGCGAGGGTTTCCCGTGCAGAGCCCCAAGCTAAGACTGCCTCACCTTACCCTCCAGTCAGCCGTCTTTGGAAACATGGGCCTTGAAAGGGACGGACCACAGTCTGGACCTGTTAGGACCCACCCTAGGCCCCACACCCAAAACCCAAAACCCCTACGCCCTAAACGGCCGAGGCAGGAGGAGAGACGACCTCCTGCTTCGCCCTGCAGTGGCTTGAGGCAGGGACAGCCCGGGCAGTTGATCTCCTGTTTGTGGGTTTAGGGTCTAGTGAGGGTTTGTCCATGGAAGTATGACGGTCAGCACAAGTTCGGTCGTAGCAAAGAAAAGTCAGAAGACGACAGCCGCAATGCTGACAACATCATCGTGACAGCCGTGACTGGAGTACTATTGACAGTGCTGGCACTTACATGGCAGCAGCGTTCGATCACATACAGGAACATCATCAGAACCAACAGCAGCAACAATAAAAACAGCAACAGCAACAATACAAACAGCAACAGCAGAAGAAACAACAACGACAACAACGACAACAACAACAACAACAACAACAACAACAACGACAACAACAACCAAAACGACGACAACGATAACAACAACGAAGACGACGACAACGACAACAACGACGACTAGGATGACAACCACGACAAGGACAACCAGGACGACCAGGACGACCACGACGACGACAACGACAACGGCAGCGGCAACCGCAACCGCAACCGCAACTGCCACCGCCAGCCCGACCGCCACTGCCACCGCCGCAACCGCCGCAGTTGCCGCCATGGCTGCCACCACCACTACCACCACCACACCGCAACCACAACAACAACAACAACAACTGCAACAACAGCTGTAGTAATGGTAACAGTATAACTGAGTGTAGCATTTACAGAAGAACTTGTTGTACTTCATGGCAGCATGATTTGAAGCTTCTGCGGTTATGAAGAAGGTCCACTGAGCCGTACTTCTGTTTCTAAACATGCACATATCAACATCTGGCCAAGTTGGCAATACACGGCATGTCTACAAATCAGCTAGGTTGCTTCGTACCCCTATCATGGCATCAACAGGTTCATGTTGGATGTACTTGCGAGACAGGGGTTGATGCCAGCAATCGAATAGGGTGTGGCAGTGAACATGTTCAAAGACAAGGTCCCTGAGTCAGTTTGACCTATATTTTGACCGACTTTCCAACTGAAGTGGGGCTTTGCACCACCCATGTTCAACCGTTGCAGGCCTGAAAGTTCATCGTCACTGCATCGGTCATGCCAAGTTGGTAACTTCCCTCACGGTGGCGCTTCTCAAGCAGCGGGCAGGTCCAAGCGAGCGAGTTAAGGATTTATATCACCAACACTAGTTCACCAAGGTCTAACAGTCAAACCTCTTTCTGCCAGCATTTCGCATCCCCTGCTGTGCCTTCGGGTGTGGTGCTGGGTGGCAAGATGTTGTTGAAGCGTGCCAAGATGGCCAAGTCAGTGGCTGCCATGGCGGCAGCTGTGGGTGCATGGCGATTTTCACGTTGTGACAGTGGCTCATTCGGCTAGTCAAACAGGAATCGCGTGCTACCAAAATGGCCGGCGCTGGCCGTGGAACCCACCAAGTGTGCGGTCATCACTGCTGATGAACAGCTGGTGCTAGACTTGCTACATTTCGATTTGGTGGATCAGGAACTTCGTGCACTCGCAGTTGCAAAGCTGAACAGCCTTGACGGCAGCAGAAGGTGGGCGTTAATCGCGGGCACCGGGATTGTTGTCACTGTTGGGCCCACGGCTCTGCTGTATGGTTTGGGCTTCAAGGGAGCTGGCATTGCAGCCGGCTCGTGGGCTGCGTCGTGGCAAGGGGCCGCCATTTCAAGTGGAAGTTGGTTCTCCTGGGCTCAGTCCACAGCCTGTCATCCGCGGCGGCGGCTTGGCTTGGTTTCCAGGACGGGTCCTTCAAGGAAATGACAGATAGAGACCTGCTCTTGCGCCTGGTGGAGAAGGAGTTGATTGACTATGAGGTCCGCAATGTCATGAAAAGGAAACTCGAGTCAGGAAAGAGGACGTGAGTCCAGCAGGGCTGTATTCAGTGCCTCCATTCGAGAGGACCGGTTGCATATAATCTAGATTTTGGAGCTTCTGAGGTGGAGTGCTGTGGATGGCAGCTGTCAGCCGGAGGGCAGCGAAGGAAACGTCCGCTTCCGTCGGTCGAAGAAGTCCACAAGCGTGGGCGATGCATGTATGCATGTATGTATGTATGTATATATATATATATACACACTTTTATATGTAAATGAGTGTGTGTTTATATGTATCCACACATAAGTGTATACGTACACATGCATGTGTATAATGTGTATACGATTGACAAGACATCGACAACTCGTTCGCGTTTGGAGGCCAAGTTGGTCGATCCTGCGGCTGTCACCTTGGTTTTGTTTCTTTGTCCTAAACCCTAAACCCTAAACCCTAAAACCTAAACGAAACAGAAGCTTCCGCTCAGTACCGCTGGTCAAGAGTTTAGCGTTTAGGATTTAGGGGTTTAGGGTTTAGGGTTTTGGGGTTTTGGGGTTTAAGCTGCCGCTTTCCTTCCCTGCTGGTTTGAGGGTGAAGGCATTCAAGTGGGTGGTTGTCAAAACTATGGTCCCTTTTTGGGTCCTTATTATAATACGGCACCTAGTATTTAGGGTACCCCAAAAGGGACCATAATTTTGACAACTACCCAAGTATCACCACGTCTTCCAACTTCAAAGTGTGTCAGACCTGAGCCAACCTGTGCTCCGAAAGCATGTTGCAATGAGTCTTGGCCCCGGGGCAAGTGAACGCCAATCTCTCGGCCTAAACTTCCTGAACCTGGACCCTAAACCCTAAACCCTAAACCCTAAACCCTAAACCCTAAACCCTAAACCCTAAACTTGGAACCCGAATTTAAGCACCCCAGGCTCCAAGCCCCAAACCTGGGAGCGCTGTGTGCGAGGCCTCCTGGGCGCATGGGTTCTGTGGTCTGCACCTCAGCGCCCGGTCAGGGTTGGGTTTAGGGTTTAGGGTTTAGGGTTTAGGGTTTAGGGTTTAGGGTTTAGGGTTGAAGGATTCGCGGCTTTTTGGGGGTAGTGAGGCTTGGGGCTGCAGGTTTTGGCACCGGGGCAGGTTATGGCAGCCGGGTTTCAGGGCCTCGGTTTCGGGAATCTTAAAGTTTACGGTTCGGGGGGATTAGGTTCTGTAAGAAGTGTCGGTTTAGGGTTTAGGGTTTAGGGTTTAGGGTTTAGGGTTTAGGGTTTAGGGTTTAGGGGCACCATGGAGTTTAGTATGATCTCGTAAAGCTGTAGCCTTGTCTTTTCGGCATCCTCTTGTGCTGAGATGTCTGCGACGTCGGGCCTGAACTAGTTTGCTCTTTGAAACAGACATGAGTCCCCAGCCTCTGAAGACCGCACTCCCCTTATCTCCGTGCTTCTAATTTTTGGAGACGGGATGGTGTGTATAGTCTTTTTGATGGCCGACTGGTTGTGCTTTGGGGGCTTGCGACGTTCTTATCACCAGCTAACCACCGTCAGGATTAGTCTGGTCAGCACCGCCATCGCCGTCGCCGTCGTCACCACCGCCATATCATACCCCCTCTGCATTCGCACCTTCATCATGTTCATCGTCCTTTCCTTTCTCCTCGTGATATTCAGCGCGATCATCTTCGATCTCAGTGACATTTTGCTGCTTTGCTTGCTTTCCCCATCTTCACCATGACCGTGTTCATGTAGTGGTGATTTCATCAAAAGCCTAAACCCTAAACCCTAAACCCTAAACCTAAACCATATCAAGATCTTCTCTAAGTGCGAAGTTCGACAGGTTCAGAGGAGAACAAAGCAAGCAGGTGGAGCAAGAATGCTCATACCAGAAAATAGGGACCTTAAGCCCTAAACCCTAAATCCTTAAATCCTAAGCCCTAAACCCTACATCCTAAACCCTAAATCCTTAAACCCTAAACCCTACAGGCTAGAGAACCCTGACATCTGGAGCTGTGCTGCCCTGAAGTCCTATCCAAACGGTCTTATGTTGGGGTTTGGGGTTTAGGGTTTAGGGGTTGGGGGTTTAGCGGCGAAGGGGTTTAGAGGTTTAGGGTTTAGGGGTTTAGGGTTCAGGGGTTTTCTGGTTTATGGTTTTAGGGGTCTAGGGCTTGAAGAAGAAACCTCCAGGAGACGATTTCACTCGGCCAGCTGCCACCAAAGAGTGCGCATGCCGCGTCACAGAAGGCCACTTCCTCCTGGTTCGAGTCCTTTCGGAGTGCTGCAGGTTTTAGGATTTCAGAGTTGTGGGTGTAGGGTTCAGGGTTTGCTTCGAGTTTCAGGGCTTCATACTTTGAGAACCCAATACCCTTTAATTAAGGAATATACCTTAAATCATAATATTAAGGCCCCTATAATTTAAGGTATATTCCTTGATTAAGGGGTATTGGGTTCTCTGGGTACTTTGAGCCTCAGTAGTAAAGAGGGCCATGGCTGAATCTATGGCCTAGGCGTCTTTCCGAAGGGCCCTAAACGCAAGGCCCCGAAGCAACAATGGGGCCAGGTCACGTGGGCTCTAGTAAGCCCAGATTTTATGTCATGTCCCGCACTTCTACACCTTATATAAACTGGAAAAAACCTTACAAGCCTCTCAGTTCTAAGCAAACACCCAAGTCCAAAAGACCCAAGACACTGAAACCCTAAACCCTAAACCCTAAACCCCTAAACCCCTAAACCCCCCGAAGCCCCCTGAGCCCTGAGCCTCTCAACCTCCGAAGCCCAGGTTCTTCCCGTGAAGGCACAGACTGCTGTGCCCAGCCCCACGGCGATTTCTCTGACCCTGCCTGTGAACGGCGATGGCGTCCTGGCTCAGCTTCGGCATCGAAACGGGGATCGTTGTTCTGCAGTCGAGGCTTTTTCGTCTCAAGCGCCCCAGCCCCAACTTCATCAACTCACTGCAAGGACCCCCGCTCCTATGACTTGGCTTCACTTCCAAAGTCAAGCTTCCCAAAATCTGCATTCCCTTGCTGTTGTGAAGATTCATGGGTTATGCGCGGCCGGAACTCGGCTTAAAAGTAGTGTGATTTGGGTTCATGTCGAGTTGTAGATATGCTGACATCTTCGCCGTTGTCAGCAGTATGGCAACCCAAGGTTGTTCTGATATGACTGCCGTCCCTCTGGTGTATTGTTGTGCTTGTCACTTTCAAAGTACTACCAGGCTCATCATAGCTATTGACATGCTTCTCTCCTGCTTCTTCTTCCTGTCGGCGCTTTCATGAGAACGATGTTCTCGCGTTTTTGGCTTCCAGAAGGCTGTGATGTCATTGCAAAACTCGTTGTCGGAGCAGCCGTCGGCTGTGGAGAGAAGATGTATCTGAGCCTTGTGGAGCTTTGGCGAGCCCTCGTGGCTTGGGGTTTGAAGCCCCCTTTTTTGTGCAGGGCTTTGGGTTCAAGCTCGTTCCCCATGCCTGATGTACCCGTGGCAAGGATGCAAAAAACCTAACAAACTCGTTGTCTGACCGCGAAGTGTGCGGAGACTCTCCACCTGAGCCCACCGTCGCGCGTCGCGTTGCCTTGGGGTTTTCGGTCCTGGAGGTTCGAGCTTGCCACTTGATGTCGGCTTCATTGGCATGATGGAAGCCCTTGGTGCGAAGCTGGGATGTGATCCAGGTAAACTCGTTGGCTTAGCACCGCGGTGCGATGCAGATACTATGGCCTGAGCTGACAGCGAGTTGCTATACATGCCCGTGGGCGCTTACCACTTGGGTTCTTGGTAATGCGTTTCTAAGTACGACACACCTTGATTTTCTTTTCCTCGTCTTTGTCTCCTTCGCTTTCTAATTGCACATCTTGTTGATACGGCTTGTGAGGATGAGGAGGATGAGAGACTGATGGTTGGTACGAGGATGAGGATGCGGGATGAGGAGGATACATATTTAGCGGGTGAGGATGGTGAGGTATGCGGTACGCTGGCTGAGTACGAAACTGAAAGGGACAATGGCCGTGACGACGATAGTGCTGATGAGAATGGTGTTGAGGACGACAATGTCGTTGGTGATGACTTGGGGAAGACTCTGTCTACTCTCTTTCTGAGCAGTGCTCCTTGCCTCGTTAAACTCATGGGTGTGGTTCTTGTACTTCATAGTGTTTTGCACGTACATGCTGATGATCTGTCGCTGTTGGTGGTGCGCTGCTGTTCCGGTTGTCGCCGCGAGGTCGGGAAGCCCAGGTTCAAATCGTTCGCGAGTCCCTGCTGCAGCAGGGGGGCTCAGAAGGACCCCTGGCGGGGCTAACGGATCTTGATGGGGTCCGGGGGTTTAGGGTTTAGGGTTTAAGGGTTTAGGGTTTAGGGTTTAGGGTTTAGGGTTAGTTTGAAGGGATCATTCCCCATTAAGTTCTGCTTGATTCAAGCTATGAGGGAGTGATGCTGCGAATTTTTGGGAGCGTGACCTAGCAACAACCACAAACCGCCGAACCCGGAGCCCCAAAGAGGTAATCCTGCTCAGTCCCAAGCCGTGGCTGAACCCTACATTGACATCCCAAATGGGCAGTTCTCTAAATTAGGGTTCTTTTTAGAGCATTTGGTTATAAGGGTGCCGTACTATATTGAGGACCTGAAAAAGGGACCCTAATTTAGAGAATTACTCAAATGCTGAACATTGAACCCTAAGCCATGGTCCGAGGCAGATTCAGTGTGTGCAGCGTGAGATAGCACGGCTGCAAGATGAGCGGGGCAAGCTCTCGAAGCCGGGGCAGCCGGGGGCCCTAGGAAGCTGGATTTAGGATTTAATATAGGGGCGTAAATCATTACCTAGGCTATTTTTGGGGGTTCCTTAGTCTATTTACAGTAAAACGGGTCCCAAAACCGTATTCTAATTATTAAGGCCCCTACATTAGGATTTAGGGGTCAGGGTGCAGGCTTTAGGGTTTCGGAGTGACGATTTCAGATTCAGGATATGGGTGACCTCCGAGGTTCATGGCCACTCTGCTGCTCCACGCCTCAACTTCAAAACCCAAAAAACCCTCAGCTGTCCCGAAGCCCACAAACCCATCCGGAACACAAGACCCTAAGCCTTATATAAGCCCATAAAACAAGCCAGAAATGCTAGGGAACCGCCCCTCAGGCCGCAGCAGAGTGCTGTGCTGCAGATGAAACAGGCAGCGCCACATTGTAAGTTTTTGGGTTCACGCTGGTTGGGGGTGTAAGGTTCCAGGTTCGGCGATTTGGGTTTACGGTTACCTTGCGCGCTTGGTGCTGCCGTAACTTTCGCTTTTTCTACAAGAGCTGTGTCGACGATCACCACAACCACTACCACGACTCCTCCTGCTGCTGCTGTTGCTGCTACTGCTACGGCTACTTTTGCTACCGCTGCTGCTGCTCTGCTGCTACCAGTACGTGCTAGTCCCGCCAGGGGACAGACGACATGGTCGACGACTGCTGCTGCAGCTGCCGCATGCCTTCAGCCACACCCAATATCTGTACCCTGCCGACTCATAGCACATCCCTCAACCCGAAACCCTAAACCCTAAACCCTAAACCCTAAACCCTAAACCCTAAACCCTCAACCCGAAACCCTAAACCCCTGAACCCAAACCAGGTCAAACCCATGGAGGCCAAGCCCATGGAGTCACGGAGCGTGACCGTGGACAAAGCCATCCGAAGGCGTTGACCAGCTGATGGGGATCTTGTCTAAAACTGGGTGTTCCTGGTAAACAGGGGTTTAGGGTTTAGGGTTTAGGGTTTAGGGTTTAGGGTTTGGGGTTGGGTTTAGGGTTTAGGGTTTAGGGTTTCCTGGTAAACATGATGCCTTCTTTGATGGTTCTTAGAGCAAGCAGGCCAGATGTTGTTTTTTGAATCGGTGCCGGTTGTCTGGCCCTTGAGATTCCTGTTAGATTGCTGAAGTTCGCTTAAGAACCTCTAGATGGCTAGTTCTCTAAATTAGGGCCCCTTTTAGGTCCCCAATATAGTACGGCACCCTTATAAAAAAGACCCTAAAAGGGACCCTAATGTAGAGAACTACCCAAATCCTGCATGAGTAGCAGTCCCGAAGGCTGGAGCCGAAAGAGGGTGAAGACAAAGACCTCAACCTAAACCCTAAACCCTAAACCCTAAACCCTAAACCCTAAACCCTAAACCCTCAAGTATTATCACGACCGTCTTAGTGCGTATCATCAGCATTAGGTGGGCAACACGCATTCTGCACCATTTCCAGTCCTACTACTGTGGCTAGTTACAAAAGGCCGAGCAGGGGCGGATGAGGCGAGGGTATAGGATCGGATTCCTTTTCGAGGCGGGCTTTGGGAGGTCCGGGGTTGGCAACATTGAAAGGTTGGGGCTTCGAGAGCTTCCTGTGCCGTCTGTGCTACTTGCCTAGAGTTAGCGCAAGTATGGGGCTTTGTGCATCTTCACATCCTTTTCTGTTAGCCTATCAGCCCTGTCCTTCATTAGAGCCCCGGAAGCCAAAGCCCAAACCAGTGCCCGAAACTGTTCATCAACATGGCAGCCAGAGCGAAGCCATCATCGCCAACACCATCGCTGCCCACAACCATCAACATCAGCCATGACCATCACCACCGCCACCATCATCCTCCTCTTCCTCGTCATCGTCGTGATCACGGTCGTCACATTGCCACCATCCTCACCCTCATCATCCTACACATCACAACCATCATCACACCATCACATCATCGTCATCTCCACGGTCACAGTCATCATCATCACATCGTCGTCATCTTCATCTTCTTCTTCCGTCTCCGTGGCCATCGTGTTCGGCAGGTTACAGCACTGGTGGCGAAAACGAAGACGAGGCCTAGAGTTCGGGGGTTTTCAAGGGTCCAGGTGTCTCGCGGTGTAGGGCCTAGGGTTGAGCATCTCTAGTGGTTTCCTCTTTCACCAGGATCTTGTGGCCACCCCCACGCCCCGAACTCAGAACCTCGCGCCTGACCCCCGAAATCCTCGAACTCTAAGCCACAAAATTGGATCCCAATGATGCTCGAAGCCTTAAGCCCTGAACTTTAAATCCAAAATCCCGCCCCCACAGTAAGCCACAGTCCTTTCAGATTTCAGCCAGGACTCCCACAAAACCGACAGCGATGTCCGGGGAGGTCCGGCCCTGTCAGTTCATGTAGGCTCCGGATTGAGTTCGGGGTTTTGGGGTGCAATGTAGAGGCCTGAATAATTACGCCTTATTATAAAAATATAGTAGACTATACCCCAAAACCCTATTCTAATTATTAAGGCCCCTACATTATGGAATGAGTCTCTCTCGATCTTGATGGTCTACTATACGCACTCGAGATCAGGCTTCCCTGTAAGACAGCTATGCGAAGCGGATATTGCTGAGATGCACATATCTCCATTTGCGGCTAGCCCTACCAGCGGCGATTCTGCCTTTTTGTTCTGGATTCGAGATTGCCGATCAGGGCTTCGGGTCGGGCTGAACCGTTCCAGATGCAAAGCAGGGAGGGCAGTCCAAGTCCAGAGCTTGGGTTTACGCTTCCTTTGTCCCTGCTCTCGCCGCATCCTTCCTTTTCCGGAATTTCCGACTGTCATGTTGGGTTGTGGGGAGTTGGGTACGGAATGAATGCCCCAGACACGTGTCGTTGCTGGGCAGCAGCATGGCCACAATGCATGTGAAGAGTCCGATCGTCAGAGTCGTCGTGGTGGTTGGACGTTGCAGTGGCGAGGTCTGCAGAAGCCGATACACATGCGACGATAGCTAAAGTAGTAAAGCAATGGTAGAAGAGCAACAACACTAAATGTAACACAATACTAGCAATAGCAATAACAATAGCAATGGCAGTGGCTATAGCTATGGCAGTTGCAATGGCAATGGCGATTGCACTTGCGATTGAATTGAAACTGCAATAGCAATAGCAACAGCAGTAGCAGAAGCAGTGGCAAAAGGAATAGCAATAGCAACAGCAACCAACAGCCATAGCAATAGCCATAGCAAGAGCAATAGCAGTAGCCCCAGCCATAGCCCGAGCCATCGCCATAGCCATAGCCATTGCAATAACAATAGCAATGACCGTAGCTCAACAATAACACTAGCAATGGCAACAACAGGAGTAATGCCAGCTTCTCATGAAGCGAGGGCTGCCTCCATCTCGCAGCACTTATCCAACGGCGTCGAGCTGCAATTGCAACGCCGCCAGCGCCAAGACCTGAACTTTCTTGTGGGAGCTTCTCCCTTTTGAACCTTCACGCCCGAAGTCTTAGAAGCCAGACCCTCTTATCCGAAAAAGTCCCAAAACCCAACCCAAGGCCCGAGACCAGAAGCCGTAAAGCTCAAAATGCCTGCGAAGAGGCCACTTCGCATGGTCCACTATGCTGCTGCCAGCTTCTTAACAACTCTGTGATTTGTTGCACACAGCCACATCAGCAATCACAGCACTGATCATAGCACCTGTGGTGAAGCACTGGTCGTGAAGCAATAGTAATGAAACAAGATGATCAGCACAGCAGTTGTATCAGTGATATGAACACTTGTCGGTTACAAAGACTAAAGAAGTCGCCACGATGACGGACAGGACAGCGATGCCTCAACAGTAATTATGAGCGCCGTGAACATACTCGTGCTAACGAGAGCGACGACAAGAATAGTGTGATAATGGCAACAAGGATGATGCAGCAGCTTGATGCAAATTATTTTTCTGTTGCACCAGGGCTGTCGATGCCTACATCCTTGCCGGTATGCTCTTACGCACAGAAACTACGTCTCTTTCTCTCATACATACATATATATACGCATTTAACGTACCATATATATATATATATATATATATCTATATATATATATTTAGTTGCGGCAGTTCCGTGCAGTCAGTGGAGTGTGCTGCCTAACTAAGCATGCAACTTCAACCCGGCAGAGCATAAAAGCTGTGCCAATGGGTTCCATAAGGACCGTGTAGCAGTTATCTGTACGTTTTTAGTATATATACATATATACATACGTACATACGTACATACGTACATACGTACATACATACATACATACATACATACATACATACATCTATGTACATAGGACGCATAGAGACACTTAGATATGTAGAGAGGTGTACCCGCATCCATCCTCCTCCTTGTTTGGCTGTCTATCTGGCTGCCTACACGGACACCGGCATGCGTGCGCCGTGCGCGCTCATTCACACTTACACAGACTGCGCTTGCAGATATGTGCATGGGAATATCGCGGAAGTGCCCGTCGTTTACCATTGCAGGTCACCACCGACCCTGTGGCAGCAGAGCTCTGAAACATACTAACATTTTCTGCGCCTCAAGGACCTGCAAGATTTGAACTTCGTATCTGCAATTCGACCTTGTTGCCTAGGGCTCCTCAACACACTTGGTAAAGCATTAAAACAATCATCTCAAAGCCTACTTCCAACACACCGAGGTCCAAAGTTTCAAGGTCTCAGGGACCCCTTTTGATTCCCCCCTGCAGCATTCCGTCCAAAACCATACCCTGGCAGCAGGTCCTTCGGTAATCCGGCGGCCCTACACCATACTTTCGAAAACTGGACAAGTACCAAGGCGAGAATCCAGCGATGCTTTCGCATTTATCGCTGGAGGCGGAGGCCGCATTGTAAACGAAACCTCCTACCGCCCGTGACGTGATTTCTGGACTTCATGTCGTGCCGTCTGTTGCTTCAACATTGCGTCTGTTCCGTTGCGGGGCTGGGAGAAGATATTGTGGCCTGCCTGGCAGAAATGCTATCCAACACAACCGGACAAGAAGAGAGCACGACGACAACAGTATAACCGAGGACGGCAACGCAAATTAAAGTCGGAGTGGCAGCAACGTCAACAACGAACAATGATATCAATAATATGCTGCAAGCGCCTCTTCAATAATAACAGGAATAGCAATAATAGTAATAGTAATAATAATATCGAGAACAGCAGCAACAAGAAGACTCTGCATGCGGCAGCCGCACCTCGAAGCCACCAGAAAGGCCCAATCTCTACCCCGCCCCCTCCTGAATCCCGGGCCCGGGGCCGTAAACCCAAACCCTAACATAGGGGCCTTAATAATTAGAATAGGGTTTTTAGGGTCCATTATACTATCTTTATAATAAAGAGCCCCCAAAAATAATATGGGTAATGGTTAAGGCCCGGATATTGCCCTCCAAAACCCGAAACTGCAAGCAGCCCTACAAGCCCCTGTTGCCTGGCAGGTTCGTGGACGTCTCGGTCAGACAGGTTGGCTGGCTTGGTTCCCTCCTCTGGCTTCAGGACACAAGGGAGTCCTTTTTCTTTTTGTAAAAGGGGTTTCAGCATTTTTAGGGCTGCGTTTTTTAAGAACGGGGCGGGGGGGGGGGGGTGAGCGAAGTAATGTAGGCCGAAGGAGCTAGGGTTACGTCGCCGTGTCAGGCTCCAAGCAACCTTTGGCCAGCGCGGGGTCTGGGTTTTGCTGCGCAGCTTCTACACAGTTCGGAGGCCATAGCAGTGTTTTGGTGGCCAAAGATATACGATGAGGATGCAAAAAGTTTCTGACCAAGGTCGTGACAGAGAGCTGCCCCCCGATACGCTGGTTTAGGTTTTTGGGGCTTGGCGATGTTTGAAACAGCTGCAAGGTCTGCCCGTACCTTCTCGGTTTGTTCAGCCCCGTATGCCCTAATTACCCATTTCCATGTTCATCTGCCGGGCGAGGGTTGAGTTTGAACCGTTCGGACTCTGTTGGTATGCTTGGTAAGGCTTCGCTTAGTTTTACCAGCATCGCTTCTGCACCTTCGACTGCAGAGTATTCACATCATCAAAACCTTCTGGGCTCTTTCTGATGTGATTTTTCTGAGTGCAAACGAGGAGCAGAACCTTCTCTATGGCACCGAGCTGGCAGACAAAGAGGATGTCAGGTCCACTTCTTAAGCTCCACCAAGCCTCATCCGGAGCAGTGACAACAGTTTCAAGAGGGTGTTGCACTGGCTACACCGTCATGCGTTATCCATGTTCGGTTGAAAACTTCAACCTATTGATCTGTATCCCGATGCTCCCAGGTGGTGGGCGGAGCAGCGTGCAACTGCACCGTTAGACAGGGAGGCACGCGAGGGTTGATATAGAGCAACCTCCACCACCATCGTGATTATAATCATTATCGCCAGTGGCACATCGGTATCAGCATCAGCAGCATCACCATCATCATAAGACTCCTCCTCCTCCTCCTCCTCCTCCTCATGTCCTCATGCTCATGCTCATGATGATGATCATCATCATCCTCGTCGTCGTCATCATCGCCACGACCAGCACTAGCATCTTCAGCATCATCAGAACCGTTCTCATCGTCAGCACCAGCAATGGCACCAACAGCAGCAGGAATACCAACGACTATAGCAGCATCAGCAGCATCTGCTGCAGCAGCAGCAACAAACAAGCACCACTTACTACTACCAATGCTCCTGCCACTGCCACTGCGCCTGCTCCTGCCACTGCCACTGCGCCCGCTCCTGCTCCTGCTCCTGCTCCTGCTCCTGCTACTGCTACTGCTACTGCTACAACAACAACAACCACCACCACCACCACCACCGCCACCGCCACCACCACCACCA